GGGGGGCAGAGGAAGGGAACGATCACCTAAAGATTAAGCAAATTCATGAAAAACTCACTTACAACGGCGCAAGCTGTAGGCAGGATTGCAAAAAAGAAATAAATATAAATATATGACCTTTTCTGTGTAAACCATTGTCTCAGAAAAATATGTTGAGGTGGGTATTATCTCATAGGAACGATTGGATTTTAACCTATTAAGAATTATTTAAATATCAGATAATAATTGTGTGAAGAACGATGTTGCATTTGGTCAGGAGAGGAAATAGAACGACAAGATCTTTAAGAGAAAGGGAAGGACGAGAAGGGGAAAGTATTGTGAGGGAAGGAAAGAAAATCAAAGAGAAGAGAAGGGAAGGGAAGGGAAATTAGGGGAATGGAAGAAAAGGATATAGCCGTAATAGATATTAATTTAAGATATTAATTGCTTTCCCACAAGAGTGACAGGCATGCGAGCCTACAAGCGTGACACTGTTTTCATACCACAAATATTGATAATCAGGTGTCCTATGACAAGTAAACGTAGTACAATGCCTAAAACTAACAGTCGTTCCAGATCACTGATGAATAGAATTCTTGGAATGTTTGTCATAGTTTTGCATTTAATCTGGTTCTAATAAAATATTGTGACGACAAGCCTGAGCTGCTTTGATCTACTTCATCATAATTATCCTCCTCCGCTATTAGAATATTATTAGAAGTGATATAACAAGAGCGAGAGGTGCGATGAATTTAAGAAAAAAACACATTGACAGTTTTCTTGACTGACTGAAGAGCTGGGAGAGATTTTTTGACACCCTCTTTCGACAGATTTCATATATCTTGGAATGAAGAGGTTTGAATCTTTATCGCTCAAACATGACCCATCTGGTAGATATGAGTGATTTGTATTCGCGACTAGTCATGCACTAAACAATCGAAATGTATTTTTTTTCTACAAAATTATACGATATAAAAAATTTAATGAATTATTAATAAGTAATTAGTAATAAATAGATAAATAATTAATGATTAAAAAATTGTACTTCATAAATTGAAAATACCGTTGTATAGTATTTTGGTTGAGTTTACAAAATATTTTCGTTGTTCTTTCCCTGCAATATCAACCAACACGACCGCCATTCTGTCATATTTCGTTCGCAAACCCGAGCTAAATGAAGTACGGAGAACTTTCAAAGTAGCTTCCTTTCGAGTACAAGACAACAATCAATTAATTTTAATTTTTGTGGGAGTAATATTTTATTGTTTAGCCCTCCAAAGTCGTATGCATTGGGAAACTTGCTGCAAGGGGTCGTCTTTCATCGCATTGTTCCCTGCAGGTTGGTGGTAATTGAGTGTATTTTTGTCGTCTATTTTTGTACATGTTTTTGTACAAGAAAATCGACCAAAGGGTGAAAAGTCAACTGCGCTCCTAACGTGACGCTTTTTAGAACATCACGAAATCCTAGGGCCCTTAAATTTGAAGTCGAATTTCCATGGGAACGTAATCTCCGGTAGACATGTAAGTTTTGTTCAACTACTGAATAAAGAGCTGTTGTTTCGTTGATAACTTCTCATTGCCATGACAACAAAGAAGCCATATTGTATAATAAGCTAGAAAATATGCAAGACAACAGCCATGATTTTTCAATTTACAAGTTTGGTGAGTCCTTGTAGACCTTCGAATTCATCAAAGCTTTCCATTTCTTGACCAATAAATATAACGTACCGTCATCACAGATTTGTCTTTCGAAGCTCACTACTGCTACTTCTGAATAAACTTTTACCTATTTTAATAAATCGCCGTTGTCTGTCCGTGATCCGAAATGGGCGATCTTAAACTAAAAGAAATTGTTGTGCTTTTTTTTCTGGCTAAAATACGAAAACTCACATTTCTAAAGTCAAAGGTCGTGCTTCATATTCCAATCTAAAAGGAAACTACGTTGATTGGCTGTGAATATATTACAATTTGTAGCGTGCGACTCCGGTCTCAGAGTGATCAACGGTTGCCTGTCCATCACACGACCTGTATCGTTTGGTACCACTATCAATAACCCGCTGGGTTGTGTTTTAACCAAGGTTTAGCTGATCTTTGACTTTGTTAGGTAAGAACATTGGCCTGGCTTTGACAATGGAAGACTTGGCTTCAAGGAGAGACTCGTTTTTATTTACAGTGGTTTTGCTGTTGCCTGGCTGCAATTCTTCCAGCGCGGTTTTCAAATCAGGTAAATTTAAACCATCATTTGAATTCTTAGCTTTTGTAAAAGACACGCCTTTGGGATTGGCAGCTAAAGAATCAGCCTTGGGCTTTAGTGAGCTGTTGTTTATTGTCTTTCTTACTCCATTAGCTGTACCTTGTTTCTTCAGTTTTCCCCACCCCAGGGGATATTTGTGAGCTTGTCTGTAAGTGAACAGCCATTTTTTTAGAGGGTCGAAGTATTCGAGTATCGCGTTGGCAGACATCTCGCGTTCTCCTGTTAAGTGGTGTAACGTCTGAGGCCATGGTTGACTGCTTCCTGCTTCAAGCATCTCCCTGGAAACGATTAGATTAGGTTAGGTTAATAGACCTTCTCCTCTCCAATTACAGACTTCGTGTTATTTCCTTGAGTTTCATTTCTTTGTTTAACGGTAGCACATGAGAAGACACATGAATATGGATACAACTCAAACAAAGAATCTTTTTCTCAAGGGAATGAAATTTGGTCTGAAATGGGAAAAATTCACGCCCAAGCTAAAGAAATTTATAGGGTGACCTTTTTTGGAGAAGGTAGATCTACCACGCCACCACCCCTCCACCATCCTGCAAAATTATTGGGTATGTGTTGTAAGCTGGCCACGAATCACGTGCTCCAGAGCGCAGACACTCAAAGGTAGCCATGTTGTTGCAGTTGTGTTTCCGAGAGTTATACGATAAGAAAACGGCACCGTTTAGTCATTTAGCGTACTTTACTATAGTATCCCCCTGCAATTTCAATTTCAATTTCTCACCAACCTGAATTTTTGTCCAGCTTCTTTTGACTTGTAAATAGAACACTCGTGTAACGGTCCTTCGTGTTTGGCTAACCGACACAATGATTGATGAAACTGAAACTGCAGTATTAAGCTCACAAAATAACTGAAAAAGAAAGAAAGAAAAGGCCATGAGTATGAAAACGACTTCCGGGTCCAAAATGAACATAAGTAACGCAAAGACTTTACTTTCTCTATTTCCTTATTACACAATTTTTCATTCCAAGTTTCTGCTGCTTTTAGTGAGAGTAAAATCATTGATCACATTATTTTATGGCTTAGCTTAGCGTTTCGTGAGAACGTGAACCAAAAAATGCGTCACAATTTTATAGCTCTTACACTTCGTCACTACTAACCAATATCGGAGGGACGTAAAAGAACCACTGAGGACGTAAAGAAACCCTGGCAGTGACCACCCTCAGTGCCTACACTTCATACTAACCACCTCTCATGATTGTAAATTGCATAAAAAGCAAACTGAAATTTACGACTCAATGCAAACCGCCTTTGATTATATCCATACAGAGCAGGTGCATGTTACGTCATTGCCGCCATCTTGGTTGACGATAACAAAGCATTCCTCATTAGCTTCTCTTGTTAGATCAACCAAGATGGCGGCTGTTTCATTGTTATTTATATCTCAAGGGATTTTGAGTCCATGGTTGCACAAACTCTATATAAAGGGCGCTATATAAATCCTAAATCCTCAAATCATCATCTCTATTATATTAATTTTACCAGATGTATTGTGAATTGGAGCCAATGTGAAACTTGGCCCCAGGATCAAAATCGTTCTCGGAGCGAGGGACTGGGGCCACGATGCCTTGGTAATAAGTACGCAGTTTCCACCACTCGGCGTTGTATTCTGAGGGCCTGATATTTCCCGCGAAAACTTTCCATCGCCATTTGTCGACGAGATAGGTGAATGGTAAACTAGCAACACGACGTAGTGCTTGCAACATTAGGAAGTTGATTGTCGCCTCTGAGGATGTAAAGGAATGAATAAATGAGCAAAGAAAGAAAATGAATCGTTGAAAGAATGGAGATTGAGTTTGCTGAACTGTTAATGCTAAATTAAATAGATCTAAATGGGAAAGAAAAAGTAGTCACTCACTCTTTTAATATCATAACCAATGAATAAAAAGAAACATTTTTGAAGACAAAAAAAAAAAA